TCATACATGTAATTCATGAAATTTTGAAAAATTGAGCTTAATATTCAACAAGGGTAACAAAAATTGTATACCCATTGGTAATATTTTTTTCAAAATATTTTTCTAAGCAAAAAACAATATTATAAAAGTCATTATTTTTAAAAAAGTTATTTTTATGCATCTTAATTCATATATAATTTATATCTTTACATATATGCATGTATGCGCTACTATACATGTGATTAAGAATAAAGTAATAGAGTAAATTCGAACAACAAAAATATAAAATAAACACTACTTAGAATATAAAAAAAAAACTTAAAAACAACAATATACCTTCACTTTGTTGGAAAAAATTTCATGAAAATAAAAAATAACAAAAGTAAAAGCATATTAAACCTTCAAATTCATTGAAAATTTGTCTCTAATCATACATAATAATGGAATTTAAGGAATTTTATGTTACTTTGTAGGAGGGAGAGCTTATCAATTTATTTTGTTGTAAAAATGGCATGTTAACTAAGTTTATATGTTACTATTTGAACATAAAATATCAAATCTCATTAATATTCAGTGTATTAATACTTGACAGTGTAAAGTTAGTGTGAAAGTTCCACGTAGCAGAATTTAAAGAAATGTGAGAGATAATCAACCACAATCATATTTGAAAAGAAAGAAATAAGTAACCGGGAGTTATTGGTCAATAACTATCAACATAAGCAAAATCATCAAAGACAATGGCTATAAAAAGAACATGTAATAGAGCAGGGGTGGTTCGAGATATTTTTGAGCCTAAGGCGGAAACGATACATGACACCTTTTTTATTTTTAATATAAATAATAATTTTAAATTGTAAATTTTATACAAAAATACTAATTAAAATTTTATATTCAAGTTTTTGTTAGCATATTTGAACTTAATAGTAAGAGAGAGAAAAAATAATTAAAAAATTATGATGGTAAGTTTAAATTTGACTTTTTTGGGGGTTAAAACTAAATTTTTTTGTAATTTTAGTTTTATCATTAGTTTTTTTTTCTTTATTTAAAAAAATAAATTTTAGGGCCTTTTAATTTTACAGCTGAATTAATAGGTCCAATCTATTTAAGTTGAAATATTTTGTTTAGGCATGAATTTAATTTTTTTCGTTTGGACTATTACTGTACACCTATAAATTATGGGTCTTCCTTGAAGTGAGGTCTTAAATTTTTTATTGATTAGACTTATATTTTTATAAGGCCTTTTTGTAAGGCTTAAAATATTTATAGATTTAAATTTTTAATATAGATTATTATGATATTTAAAAATTTGGGGCCTTATTTAAAAATAAGGCCTAAAGCCTAAGCCTTTTTGATAATACTGTTGAGCCGCGCCCCTGTAGTGGAGAAGATGAATATACATTTAAACCCCTAAAAGACCCACGATCTAGGCATTATTTGGAGTAGTTTTAGGAAGTAGTTAGTACTGTAATCAAAATTTATTTATTTAGTCTTTCTATAATCGAAGTTCTTTTGATTGAATTAATAAAGAAATCCTCTTTTCTAAGTTCCATGTTATTTCATTTTGCCATTGAGCAATGTGGTTGTACATTATTTTTTTCATTTAAGGAAGTCCTAAAATAAGGTATTTGAACCCTTTACATATAGTCGTCTGAAAAATGTTTATCGATTGAGATATTTTTATCGATCCCAACAGATTTTGGAACAACAATCTTTTGACATGCCTGTTGGGACAACATTACTAATTTGAATAAAAAAATGGTTCGAACAAAGAAGCAAGACAAGATCATATTTAGTACTAATGAAACTGTGGAAATGATGTCAAACAATGGCAATCATGAAACAAGTTCAAGTGTCAGCCCAGTGAAATCTGCAAGTCTAGAAAATGGCCAATTTAGCGGTCAAAGACAATGTGCGGATGGAAGAGTTTTTGCAAAACTTGAAGCAGACACCGCATAATACTAATTTTGACATTAGCATACACCAATGAGGACCAATTAATTAAAAATCAACCAACATCATTATAAATCAAAATGTGGAAGAAAGAAACACCAATCTTGGCGCTTCCGGTGGAAAACCAAAGGCTACCATCAATGGTAACTAACAAATGACTAGGCTCACTACACCAAAATCACTTTAATATGGTATTCAATAGAGAACTTGTTTAAAAGTTTCCTAATTTCTTCACAAGAAGAAATCTTAGGGGCAGAACCAGTTGGTAGAAATGATTCAAGATTTGTATGGTTTTAGCCTTAAAAAACTGAAAGACTTGGGTTTAAGAAATCATATCCACCATGGGTTGATTTTGAGAAATTCCCAAGGGGATATAATACCCCAGAATTTTACCTTTACTCTGGTGAAAAAAATTAATCAACTATAAAGCATATAGATAGATTCACTTTCCAATGTGGGAAAGTTGAAAGTAATGAGAATTTCAAAATAAAACTGATCCCACAATTTTTTGCTAAAACAGCCTTTGTTTGGTCCATCAATTTACCTATTAATTCAATTCAATTCAGTTCAAACTTGGCAAAAAATTAAAGAGCACTTTCATGTTCAATTCTTTAGGAATGAATTAAAGATTTCAATGGCAGATCTTTCAAGATTAAGGCAGAAATCAAATGAATCTATAAAAAAGTATATTGACAGATTCAAAAAAGGCAAAAAACAAATGTCATGTTTACTTTCTTGAGATTGAGTAAGTTAAATTGGCCCAGAATGGTTCGGATTTTAGAATTAAGAAAGAA